ACGACGTCATCACAGCTTTTTGGATGTCCAAAATTGCTAATGAATTAAGCTTGAATGCCAAGGCTGTATCGTGAATGTTAAGTTATCATTTGGGATACACGAAGAAATCTACGTCATGGGTACCATTTGAAAGGAGGCTCAGAAAGAGTCTCGAGTTCATTTTGCTAAATTTTTCCAAAAAAAATTCGAAAACAAGTCGCAGTCAAAGCCCACTTGTAAAATCTACGCATCTAAAATCAGCAGCAAAAGTAATGATGTCAGTTTAGGGTCAGATGTTAACTGCAAAATGGTACACCGAAGAGTGCTTACCAAAAGTTTTCAAAAATTTTGTTTAAAAACAGGAAGAAAGAGGATTTGCGGTGCTCCTTTTTACATCATGGTAACGCGCCATCCCAGAATGCTGAAATAACAACGAGTAATTTTATTGCGATCCCTGGGATCGAAGAAATACAACCAACGCCGTATTGCCAGTATATAGCACTTTGTGATTCATTAAAAGCAATTTATAAGGAAAGGTATTTAATAACAACGATAAGATAATTAATGTGGTTAATGTTGAACTTGATAAGCTTCAAAAGCAAAATTTTGTATAATGTTTTAAGAAGTGGCTTAAGAATTGCATTGAAATCAACGTCGACTATGTAGAGAAAATAAAAAAAAATACTACAATACTAAGATTAATTGCACCAGGGACTCGTTTGTTTGTTGGCTTACTACTAGGCCCTATCGGGGCAAAGCCCAGCGGGAAGGTTGATGCCAGTGATGTCACTTTTATCAGCGTACGTTAGCAGCTGTACACTCTCACAAAGAATGTTTTCCTTTTTTTAGTTTTGTAGCTCCTCTGTGAAATAAATGGGTGATTACTTTGTCGGAAATTTTGTTTGATATCGAAGTGTTGCTTAACATCACTCTAAATGCCCGCTCAAGTTTGCCTGGAGAGATTTCTGCTGAAACACATCCATTTTGTTGGGGAATGATAGGATAACTGTAAAACCAATCATTTGAAATCAAAAATCTTATGTAATTCTCATTAGCCATGGCTGGAACTACAAAAAAAAAAAAAAAAAAAACGCAAAAAATGGCGAACTTCTTAATTTTATAACCCTTTTTCGATTTTAATTGTTTAATCATCAAAAATGGGGTATCTCATCGTAGAAAAAATTATACGGTTAGAAATGGCTTTTAAAAAAAGTTCCGAATTTTACATAAACCAATTTTTTAATTGAAGAAAGTAAAGCATAAATATAAATTGGCTAATAAAAGTTATATTTCGACAAGCATAAAGTTAATGATAAATAATTGCTGATAATATTTTTTGCTTTTATGTATAGTGCAATTTCATTTTTATTTATTTCTTCTTTTATGGGTAAGAGTTATGAAAGACGAGAGGAGAAAATTTTACGTGAGACAATAAAGATGTAATTTCATTTACGTATATTGCGCAATGTCTATAAAATTGTTTGGACGGTTTTACAACAATTAATTTCTTTATGGTTTCGGAAAAATTAAAAGTATATGAAGGCAAAAAGCTAAAAAAAGAAAAATTAAAACGAATTCATAATGAAAAATTTTGTGTAAATTTATTCTTTGCTTAAATAGATAAAAGTACAAATATCATTATGCAGCATGTATGTATGTAAACGTATAATATATGTAAATGCTTACGACAATTTTATATCCACTTTACTAGTAAGTAACTAACCCCTGACCTGCTCCTATGTACAATGGTTTAGACTACATAAAACCTGTTAAAATGCTTTGGCCGGAATTGCTGTCTTGAACTTTTGCCTCTCTCCCATTGGCCTCTCGAGTTGACATGAATATTTTAAATGGCAAAAAATACACTCTGACATTGCAGTACATGGCATGATAAGAACAAAAGACTTACATGCTTGGATGCATGTACATATATATGTGTGTTTGTACTGCCTACAAAAGTCCGATGCCCACTCGAGGCAACAGTGTTGCAAGAGGCTCAAGACTTAAGTTTACCCATTGTAATTGTGAAAACAACAGCAATTCGCCGTCAATCTAGTAAAACATGTTTAAAACGAAAATTTTTAGTAAATTACTTTTTGTAAAAATAAAGAAAAAATAAAATAAATATAAAAAATTTTGCTAAAAATAGCTGAAAATCACCAGAATCCAGTTAACTATCTATGTTTGTCCACTTGTTTGTACGCTTATGCTTGGAGTATTTCACTTGCCGCAGTGAAAAGTGGCAGGAAATGCCAAAGTAAAACAGAGTTTATGTGAAGTGGGTAAGTCAGTGAGTGCATGAGAAACCAGGCTTCTATTTTAATAACTACACTTTGCCGTAGACACGCCATCACACATCACTGCACACAATAAACCATCGCGTCGAGTTCTCGCCTCATCTTTTGTCTCTCTGCCTTTTGCTGCCACTCGTTGCTTGGCACTTGGCACTGAACTTGCAACTTGGTTGGCTGCAAGTTGGTATGAGTGCTGGTTGTGCTGGTGATTGGACTCGCGCGTATGAAGTATGCTTGGTTATCTATGTTAGCACTTGAAACACGCCCATATAATGCCAGTTGCCGTCGTCATATTCGAAGGTAGTTGTTGCTTATTTTGCTGATTTGCTTATTTGGTATGCACAACCGCTGGCCAGTGGAGCAGCAACAACTCAGTTTGTAGCGTTAGCATTTTCAAGCCCACCGCCATCCTTTTAAGCACCGGCCGAAGTTGGACTAGTTTCGCTTCAGCTGAGTAAGGCTTAAGATGTCAGCTGGGCAAATAGCCAAAAAGTTGGTCATTGACGCTCTGTATCTTTTCCACAAAATCAGGCAGCATCCACTAAGCTTCACTGCCCAAAGAATTGCCACACCTCCTTCAGTGTCAGGTAGAAGTGAATAAGCATTAAATTCTTGCTCAACACAAATAGGTGTACTAGCGTGGAAATTTCTTTTATTGGACATTCATGGTCAGACTTAAAAGATACAGATCTAGGAGCCGTTTCAACAACCCACTGTGCCAGAACAGACCAGCAGAGCTTCGAAATTAACCATTCGAATCAAGTACCAATAAAGTTTTTTCTTGATGTCTTTTCTCCACTAGTCTTATACATTTTAAAAATCCTCCAACTACTAGAAGTATTTTCTGCGATCGTTGATGCTTTTGACTCGGCGATTTTGACGTTCGGCAAACAGAACTGATGCATAGAATTAACTGCATATAATTTAATAATTTCCTGCAATAGCAACCCTATTCACCAGCTGGAAGAAGAAGCATGAGATAGAGCTCTTTCAAAATCGATTAGAATACGACCATAAATGTTATAAACTGTAATTTAATTACTGAAGATAACACTCGCTGGTGCACGGTACAATCCGACCACAATTTCACAAAAGTGCAGGTGCACACAAAACTACTATAGTCTTGATACTAGAAAATTTGTTAATCGGTCATAAATTACACAGAACAATAACAAAAAAAAAAAGAGATTTTCCGGAAGTCGCGTCTTGTCCTTTTGCAAATACGACCCTAAAAATGCACCGAAAAGACCATCCATATAGACAGAAGCTTGCGTATTGAAGCAACAAAGAAAGAAAATTTGGATTTGTCCCAAACTAAAAGGACTCTATTCACCTATAAAAACACTTCCAGCGTACATTCTATGGAACAGTTAAGCTCCTGTTAATCCATTACAGATGATGAAGTCGAGGGTGTCAGAGGCAGCTATTGTTGAGCGCCAGATGGGCGAGTGATACGAGCGGTCGCCCCTTGGAGTAAAACTCCATACAAGGCTTTCATTAACCTTGGAACATGATAAATGTAAGTGGATTATTTTCCATTTAATTGAACTTCTGTATTTAGAGACAACTTATCAATTAGAAAAAGCTTTTAAAATTGATGGTACATAATATTATGGCTGTGTTAGTGCTTTCAATATGAGCTTTAGTAATAATATATGATAATGTGCGCGTGCGCGATTTCACTCTACTTGCCTGTAATTGCCCTACGCATTTTTTAATTACATACACACGAGCAAATATATATACATGCTTACGATACTATACTTGAGTTTTTATTTGCCAATTTATTAACAAATTTTAATGAGTAAACAAAACGAAAAAAAAGATTATAACGTTTAACAATTTTGCATTAAAATAATTTTGTTTTAATTTATAAATGTTTTTTGTATATAAAAATGTAAATGTAAATGTAAATACAAAGGAAGATAAATCAAAAATTAAAAATGAAAATTAAGCAAAAATAATAATCGGGTTTTAATAGTTAAAATGCTTATTAAAAAATAATAAATAATTCATATTATGGAAAATGTATTATCAAAATCATTTTTCGTACGAACTATTTGTTAACAATGTATTGTAAAAAATAATATTATTAGTGATTTTCATCTGCCACCGAATTCGCAGAGAATTCTCACGCTTCATTGCAAAAACACGCATTTCTACACTGCGCCATTTCCCCACGCCGCATGCACTTAACTGTAAATCACTGCTGTTCGTGCGTCGCCAACTAAGTAAGCCAAGTTTAGTTACAACGCTTGAGCGCGCTGCTGCGGCCGGCTCCAACCGAATCGGCAAGTGGCCGGCTACTCTAAAGAAAGGTGTGAAGCGCGCCAAAGAAAAAGAAAACCAACACCTCGGCAGCGATGTTGGCCCGTTGAGCGTGGTGTGATGGTGAATCGAATTCCGAACAGCGATCAGTTGCAGACTTAAGCTCGTGTTGAATAGTTGTGCGCATGCTCGTCGCGTCGTTCACAACAAGTAACGAATATTCAACCAATCAGACCAACGAACAAGCCTGAAATTGCCAATTGGATAATTGTCAAAAACGAATAAGCATTAAAAGAAGTAAAATAAAAAGAAGGGAAGGAAAAAGCAGAAGTCTGAAGACGCGTTACGCTATTGCTTACATACAAACACGTTATCGTTGTTACTTTCGTTGTAAAAAAAAATTTACTTGTCTGTGTGTTGATAACCAGTTCCCGAAGAAAGGTAAAAAAGCTACATACTTACATATTTACATGTACTGCAACAAAGCGAAAACTGCAAGAAAGTCAAAGCATAATATTTATAGAGAAATACACAGTTACATACATACATACGTACGGACGTTCGTAAAAATGCGTTACAGCCGCGTCTTTAAGACTTAACACATTTGGTTAAACAGCTGCTGCGCAGTAGCAGTTGTCGTAGGTTTACTAAAAAACAGTAAAAACCGTAAGAGAAAACTTTTATCGACGTCAGTCGTGCGGCAAATGGCCAAGAGTGAAGTGCGAAGTGGTAATGGTTTAAATATTTCATAAAAACACCATTTGTGTTGTCAATTATACTTAGACTGATCATTAAACGAATACACTTACTAAGTGCATTTCAACGGTGGATTTACTGTTTTGTCCACAAATACAATACAAAGATATATAATTTTTTTTAATTCAAAAAGCGAAAACGAAGACGACTAAGGTATGCGCCAAAATGAAATAAACATACAATAAGTTATGTGAAAAAATAATGATTAAGATATTACAATAATAAAAATTGCAAGTCTTAACAAAGACGTAATGAATAAAAATCGATCAATAGATTTTTGTAGTAATTTCCTAATTTGAATAAATAAATAATACATAAATAATTTTACCATGGCTATAAATTATTAAAAAGTAAAAATATATAATTATAGAAACTTAACAAAAAATATTAAAATAAAATCAACCAAATACATCTACATTTCACATAAGTATAAATTACAGTTAATTTATATATTAATTATATTTTCAATGCTAAAACGACAAAAACGTTTATTGTAATAAAGAAGCAAATAAAGAAGCAGGAAAAATGAAATAATATAAACTAAAATTAATGGATTTTTTGCAATGAATTTTCGATCAATATCAATTAAAATTATATTTTGTGATAAAAATAAATTAATATAAGTGTTAGGATAAAACAATAAAAAACCAATAATTATAAAGTTTTTAAATAAAGAATTAACTATGCAAGGAACATAAAAAAATTTAAGTACAAAGTTTAATTTAAACATTTTTTTATTAAAAGTAAAAACAATTAAATAATTGAAAAATTTTACAGAAAAATTCAATTAAAATAAATGTTTTAAATATAATTATCAAAGTATATAGAAATAAAATTTAAGACTTTATAATGTTTTTTTTTTAATATAGTAAATAAAAAAATAATATTAACGAATATTTATATTTTTTTTTTATATTAAATAGAAAAATTTGTTAATATAAAATCACGTGAAATATAAAATATATAAAGTTAATAATAGCAAAAATAAAACAACAGAAACATTGAAAATAAAATTAAAAGAAAAATAAATAAATGTAAATAAACAATTAAATAAATTAAAATAAAATAGAATAAGCTGAATAAATAAAATACGATCCATAGAGACAACTTTGAAACATTGAAGAACAATTTTAATTTTAGATTAAATAATTGGTATATTAACTAATATATATTTAAAGGCTTATAGCTTTTTCATTTTGAACTTTACAATAACACCTGTTGTATTGAAAGTATTTGATTATCGCTTTGCATTCAATAATAATTATCACAAACTTGCTTACATATATATGTGGCTCCAGTGCACTTTCCAACAAGTTAAAGTTGTCAGAAAAAATAATTGAACTCACTTACAGACACACATCTTCTCGGTGAAAGAAATTTTATGTAGACTTTTATCTGCACACTTAAATGCGTATAAGAAAACCTGTAGCATGTCATCACGTACTAAACGCATTTGTATGTATGTACATTACAAAAATCAAAAGAAAGTGTTACGAATTGGGTGTGTTCGAACTGATCGAAACCCAAAAGAAATATATACTTTTCACGACATTCAAGACCAAATGAACAGCAATACATACAATACAAGTCCACATACACTTACGTTGGGTATGGGCTTTAAACTCGTTAGCTTGTTAAGCATGCGCGACCATTGTCACTGCCAGCAGCAGTCAAAAGCCGCAAGCTGTTGCCGTTGCTGTTGTTTTAACCATCGTTGGACAACGCCTCGCCTCTTGTGCTGGTTTTAATGCTTACTACTGACCCAGTTTTCGCTTTGCTGCATATTTCTTTACTTTCCATTTGTTTATGTTCTTCAACTTTAAGCGCTTAATGCTCATTTTTTTTATAATTCAAAAACAAATTGGGTTAATTTAATTGATTTGGTTCTTCCGGCACTTTTATTGATACAAATTTCGGTATCGAAGTGACAAGCTTACATGCCCATACATATAAATTAATATGAAAAGAAAGTGAGTTTGGCCCTATAGTGCTGGATCATGCTCATGTACGTACATATTTATACGTATGTATGCATTGTGAAGAGAAAGCGGTAGGCTACTTGGAATTTCATAAAGTTCGATTCATGTCGAATTCATACCGCTTCGCTTTGTATTTACTATGTATTAAGTATTTTTTTTTTTAAAGAAATTCGGGATATTTCAAATATCGAAAATGGAAATCATTTGAAGAGATTTTTTTTCTTTTATTACTATTAGAGAGAAAAAAATTAATCGTAGCAATGAACTAGATGAAACATTGAAAATAAAGTAAAATAAAAAGCTATAAAAATTATTTAAAATAAAATATAATGAAATAAAATAACAATATAAAACAAAATAAAAAAAAAAACAATAAAATAAAAAAAAATTAAATTAAATTTAAATAAAAAGAGAAAGAAAAATGAAATATATAAATAGGAAAAAATTAATAAAAAAATTCTTTTAAAAAATATGTTATTATGATATATTAAAACATATGAAATAAAATAAAATATAATAAAATAAAATGAAATTAATAAAATAAAATAGAATAAAATCAAATAATATAAATTAAACTACAATTAAATTAATTAAAATAGATAAATTAAAAAAAATATAAGGAAAATAAAATAAATTTAAAAAAAATAAAAAGAAAAGATAATAGAAAATAAAATAATATTAAGGATATTAAAAGAAAAAATACCCAATATCTAAAATAAATTCGTAAATAAAATTAAAAGACTGACAAAACTTTAGGCTTGTTCTTATTGTCTATACACATCCTTTTATATAAAGAATGAAACATAAAAATAAAATTTAAATAAATTAAAATCAAATAAAATGTAGCGATAATAAATTAATTATGTGCAAGTGTATGTGCAAATTTTCTAAAATAAGTATATTTTCCTGACACTTAAGTTTAGCTTGTTAAATCGTTTATTGCTTTTAAGCTCTGTTTAACAAAGAAAATCAAGATGCGCTCTGATTCATAAATTTTTAGTATATGTATGTATGTTTGTATTCATGCCAACTTCTACTTGCTTCCACGTAGACCAACAGAAATGGAGACTTCTCATGTTTTTAATAAACATATACAAATTTCTTTTTCTTCTGCCTTGCATGTGATTTTAATATATTGTTTTTATTTTTTCTTCAACAAGAAAGACTTACCTCGTATTTGCACAAAAACTGGCGCGCGAAATAAATAGTAATCTTAATTTCACTGCACAAACAATGAAGCAGTAGGAATGACCAAGAAGAAGAAGAAAAAGAAGACGTTGAGCACGGCAACTCGCACGACTCGAAACAATTCAATTCCTATGAAATGTTTGTTTTCCTGCTGCTGCTGTAGCTCCCACTTGAGCTTGAGTTGTTTGTGTATGAGTGCAATTGCAATTGACCCACATTTAATGTGAGCACACTCCCATGCATACTATATACATATACGTGCATATTTATACTTGCTTTCATATAAAAATGTCAATAGCGTGTTTCTCTTTATATATATATATATTCATGAATGTGTATATGTCTTATTATGTTTTACAATTATTTGTATTGCCACTTAAGTATGGAGTTGAGAATTTTTTTATCCGCAAGCAAAGCGCTTAGTTTAATCCACATATCCATATATGTATTCCTACACAGTACTTATGTACATACATACCTACACGTATGTGTACGTAGGTAAGTATAAAGCTCTTTTTGCATTTTTTTTTTTTTGAATTTGTGCTTCCAAGCAACTTCCATTTACTTCACGCTCACTTGACTTGTACGTTTGTGGTCTGGATTTTAATGTTTTTGGCAGCCAAGCACAGCATCTTCGTTAGCGAAATCGACAAAAGTATGCAAGGAAGTACTTAATTTAACCAGCATTGCGTTAGAAGGCATATATGAATGGTATATACGAGTGCGTGTGTTAGAGTTTATTTTTCAAGCCACCAAAAGTATTTAAGTTCACAATGCAACATATGGAAATATGACATACTTTTAATTCGTGTTCATAAAGCCTTTAAGTGATTAAAATAATTTATTTCAATTACTGCTGAGCTAGAAACCAGAATAAAAAATACCTACTGGTAGGTAAAGGTGTTAATCTCTACTCGTTACTGCTTTTTTCGTTTCTGTAGTTTACATCTTTGAAATTGGCGAGCCATATGCTCTCCTCTCCAACGTGAATACGTAATCTTTTTGGTCTTTCCTTGGTCTCCTTAAAGAAATACTTTAAGGATCGTCTGGCAGGTGACATGCCGTTGTTCGGCTGATCTTTTTGCAGATACTCAGATCACTGATAACTTGAATGACCTTCTTGTGTCTGCTGATCACTTACAGTGCCTGATTCCTTTTAGAAACATTTGTTGCATATGGATATATATAGCGTTATCCTTAAGCTTGTATCCGTGGCTTCATCCGCCTGTTGGTAATGTAGCTGCCAAAGGCCTATCAATGGTAGCACCAATTATGAGTGCTATATACAATATTTAGCTAATAAGCTACGGTGTGAAGACCCCTTTCAGCCTATTCAGACTGTCTTTATTTAAAATGCATATATGGCTACTGCAGATTTCTTTCTTGTTGATAGAGCAACAACTATTTTATCCTGGAATATTTTGTAGGTATTTGTTGAAAGAATATCAAGACGCTTACCACAAATTGATAAAGAATTCGAAACGGGTTCAGAGCTAAAGTCTGTAAATCACATAAATATATACATACCTGATTCGCAAGAGATGTAAGGGTTCCAATTACATACCTCCTAACTCAAACGATTCTCTGAAGATATTATCAAACGTTCCATATCTAAGAGTATTTCTATCCTAAATAATCCACTTTTGAAGCTTTCAAAATACGGCGGTTCAATTTACTTGATTTCAAGGTATTTGAAGAGTCGTAACGCTCCGCAAGCTTTTTAAACCACTAAAGTTAAATTTTTTTTATAATAATTCATTTCTTATCAATTTCATTAGATTTTAATACTTGAACGGTGGGCAACTTCCTAACTTATTTATATTAAATTAAAAGTGTAATAGATAAAATCGATAAAAACTTGCTACTAGCAACATTTTAATTCTGCTTCTGTAATATCAGCCTGCTTTTGCTTTTAGGAAATATTTAATATTTCAGGCTGAGCCGTTTTTAAGTTATTTGAAAACATCTTTTTTTTTTAATATAGCG